GGCGTTTTCTTCACAGCCCCGCCCCAAAAACCGCCTAGGCGAGTCTTAAAACTAGTTTTTTACATACACAAATAATTTCGGACCTATGGCACATATAAGAACCAAGATACCATGAAAGAAATGGGTATTTAGGGCAAAAGTTACCTGAAACCCAAAGATAGAGGAAAGCCAATCAAGTATATCATTGACAGGTTTAATCCTCTCTGCAGGCATTGTTGACTTGTCTTCAGGGTTCGTGGGTTGTACATGAAATCTTGGCATTGGAAGACGATTCACATTTTGTACAGCACGAAGCGCTGCTTTGATCTAATATTTTCAGGTCAAAATAAGACGATAAAGCAGTAAGCAAGAGAGAAAATATAAGATTTCATGAAACTAAATCAGAGAGGAATGGAAATCACATATACTGCTCTTGTACAACCTCGGGAAGTTCCATAATTGCTGGTTTAACACCAACAGTATATAACGGAAGAATGTTATAGTTGACATACTGCTCCCTTTTCTTCTTGACATCTTCAGCCATCTTCTTTGTCTGTAACGACAAAATTATTTTCAGTACCTTCTGTGTCAAACTGTCTGTTAAGGACTTGAGCATCCCCCAATCATAAAAATCAAACCTGTTTATCTATTTGGGTTTGAGGTACCACTGTCTGGAGCACATCATACAGTACTGTTGCAATCTGACAATTCTTAGCCATCTCTTCCCTTCAAGAGTTAGCATCCAAATATATAAGAAACAATGAATAATTCAATTAGCAAAGAAAGCCAGCATATCAAAAATTCAAAGACAAGCCTTACGGTGTCTTTGTGTACTCCCCTTCTTTGATATTTTTCTCATAGAATTGGTGGTAATACATCAGAATTTCTTGTGGATCAGATCTACCAAGCCGATGTTTTGTCTCTGCTTCTTCCTGCAACGAACAGAAATATAAATATTAGTCATGACATTGAATTAGGATTAGCCTTAAAGACTATTTTAAAATGGAGCCTGGTATGAATTGTTGCCTTATTTCCTAACAGCTTAAAGTTTTGGGGGTCCAATTGTTGTCTACACTCCACAATGGAATCAGAGCTCTAAGTGCAGTGGGTCTTGAGTTTGAAACTTCTAATCATGGATGACAAAGGATAGAGGAGGAGAAGAAGAAATAAAATAAATATTGCCACATTAACGTGCAGATGAAATCACAGGTGAACTATACACACACCAATGAGAAATATAAATGCTGTGCTAAGATCGGGCTTATCTTCGGGAAAAAAGAAATAAAAAATACAAGACACCATTAACAATTTAATGGTCTACCTTTTCAAGTCTGTGCAAAAGAAGCGTCTTAAACTGTCGAACACCACGTCCACTTGATGTTGGATCCATCGTGTGTGCCTGCTCAAATCCATGGAAGCGGCCTGAAAGCACAGAAAATATCAACCTAACAGACTAATATATTCCGCCACTACAAACAACAATGAAGCTCACTTACCAAGCTAAGCAGGAACACTTGACACAAAGAACATTAAGATTCTATCCGCATTGGAAATAGAGATTAAAAAACTTATTAATGGGAAACAAAAGTCTTGTTAAGATTTTCTGCCATATTTTCTCTCTTGGTTGTTTTCATGTACGCTAATGTACCATAGTCTAGAAACAGTATAACAATACTCCGTTGCAGACAATAAAACTCATCATTAATGCTAATTTGCAACAAAAACAGCACCATGAGTGAGAAAAACATTCATTGAAGGACAAAGAAAGAGTAGAAAAACAGAGAAGTGCCAACAAGAGGCATGTAATATTTCCACGCTAATAAGTTCTAGCTATATGGAATGTAGTGCCACTTTATCACCAGAATATAGCTAGATCCAATTGAAATGCAAGTTTCCTAGTTCGACTAAGTTGTACTATGCCCCATCAGAAGTATTCGGTGGCTAACATTCTTGATTTTCCATACAGGGCTTTGATTTCTCTTCCATATACCAACCACACCTCCCCTTTCATTCTCCCTTCATCAAACTAGCCTGGTATACCGATAAGGATAATCGAGGAAATAATGAACACTGAATTTAATAATTTAACATTCTCTTCCAAACTATGCATACAAATGAATTCATGCAAGAAAAATTCAAACTTTTGTTTCTCACTTGGTTCCAAACAGTATGAATTGCAAACTAACATGACAAATTAACAGTGAGGGCAACAATAACATACAGAGATAAGCAACCCTAGGGTTGTCCTCCTCAATCTCATTGGCGACTCGAAAAATCGGAGCAATTGAGGGAAGTCCCGGGGGCACATTAATGTCCGACGCCTCGTCCTCGGGCGGCATGTCCAAAACCTTAGTGGACATTCTCCTCATTCCCCTCGAAAACGACCGCGGAAGCCCCCCCGGGTAGTCGGTCTTCGTCCCGCTGGAGCTCGCCATATCCGAAAAGCACAGCCAATCCTCAGCCTCCTCTCGGTTCCAGCTCTCACTGATTTCAATGTGGATTGTGAATTAAGGAAAGATGTCATATTTCTAGGTATTTAGAGAGAGAGAGAGAGAGAGATACTTTGGGAGTGGGGTGGGGAAAAGGAAAGCAAAGTGGGGTTTTGCTCTCGAAGCAAGAAAGGTATTGGTGATGAGAGAGTTGGGTTTTGTTTGTTTTCAGAAGCTTTTTGAAGTGCATTTGCTTTTGGAATTGGAGACTTGTGATAAACAAATCTGTAATCAGCAGCGCGGAAGTGCTTTTCCTTTTTTCTGGGTGTTTGTGTTTCTGCTTTTGGGAGAGGCTGCTTTTTTAAAATCAGCTGAGTTTGCTTAGTACTGGAAGCTAACAGGGCGGGAACTGTGACGCCGTAAAGAAGAAAGAAGGTGGGGACCCCAAAAGCCAGGAGGGTAACACGTGGAAAATATGATTCGAACATGTTTACTTTCATTGAAAGTTCTAAAAGAAGTTACGTGCTAGTCGAGCCGCAGATTGAAGCCTGACGCTTAGACGAATTAGATGGATATATATAATTATATTGAGATATATAAATTGAAAAATAAAATGACATATAAATTATAAGGTATTAAAATATATTGAAAATATGAGAATAAGCATATGATGAGTGTTCATCCGAATATCCAACAAATCTCTTACATTTTATTGAAAAATTAAAATACAAAATAAAAGTAATCGATTTTCTGTTTTAAGTCAAAATCGCGACCTAGGTGGGTGCCTATGCAAGTTTGGGTGGGCTATGCGGACACCAAAGCGAGTCTAGGCGCACTTTCTTAATTTTTAAACGTCTAGAGACTAACAAGGGGTGGCCAGCTGCCTAGTGAGGATTTTTAGAGCAGTGGAAATAGGTGAATAATAAATACAAACAATATAAAAATGATAGTTGTTGTTCGCTATTGTGTTTGTAGACTTATGGTATGTCGAGATTATGATTCATATTATGCTATTGTGTTAGTTGAAGTCCATGTGCCAAGCAACTAATGATGGTTATGTTAAAAATCAAATGCAATTTTTTTTTTTTGAAACAAATTTCAATCTTTTACCTGTAACATTATATTATTATCACGTTCCATGAATAGCTTTGTGTAAATTCTTTTACTAATCACAGTACCAACATAAAATTTTGATTTTGTTAATGGATTGTTATTTGATGCATAAAATTTTGATATGATTTTGGTTGTTAACAAACAAGTTAAGATAAAAAGGTTGTTTTGGTTGAATAAATGTTTGTTAATGCTTCTCCTTTTCTTCTTTTAAGCAAAACTAGGAATATTTCGTGAACTTTGAATGGATACATAGGATTGGATGAGTTTTTACCATTGAAGTGTCCTCTACAAGAATTGAACCAATCATGGCGTTTTAGTTAGGTGTCCCACCAAAAGGTCATTCAAACTAAAGGAACATTGATTCATAAAAGTAACGACCTACGTGGCTATAAAAGAAATAAGGTACCGTTTGGTACGTGGAACGAGACGGAACAGAGTGGGACAAGGCGTTCCGTCCCACGTTTGGTGCGCCTAAAACAGGTGGAACGAGCTGTTCCACGGGACGAGTTTTGGGTGAATTTTCGTTCCACCTCACCCCCTGGAACGACTCGTTCCACATCCGTGGAACACAAAATTATAACCACTCTGTTTCCTTCTTCTTCCTCCTTGTTTCCATCCGAGGGCATCTTTGCTCCCGCTCCGTTCCGTTCCGTCCCGTCCCATCCCGTTCCGTCCCGTCTGCATACCAAACGATACCTAAGAGCAAGTTCGCCCGTTTTAGAAGGATAATAACGACGTCCCATCCCGTTCCGTCCCGTCCCGTCTGCATACCAAACGATACCTAAGAGCAAGTTCGCCCGTTTTAGAAGGATAATAACAAGGCATTTGAATTGTCCTTATTGTTCATCTTGAACAGTGGTTGTCTTTGTGCAGCTCTACTTGTTTGGAAATGGAAAGGGCAAGGATGAGGACAATAGCGATTATTATTTACAAAAATATATTGATTTTTTATAAATAAATGTGAACTTCGTAAGTTTCTTTTATGAAAGCAACAAGCACCTAAGCAAAACAACTTCTTCCCCAATCTCCCATTTGCCTTCTCACTCACTTTTTGTGGTAACAAAACCATTTAGGAAATAGAAATCAACAGAGGAGATTGTAGTAAAAATAAATATTGAGTTGTAATGTGGGAAATGAAAGATGGCTGGGTATTGGACTTTTTAACGTTGGATTAATCTTGATCGTTGATTTCCAAATCAAATGCACCAGATTGTGCCATGTGACACATCAAAAGTTCATTAAATATTTTTTACCGTTGGAAATTCAACAGCTGAGGCCCACAAAAAATGAAGTCGTTTGGCTCTAGGATCAGCACGTGGCCGGGCCCCACTCTATCACAAGGCTGATGACATCGCCATTGCCAGGGGGCTCAAGGTCCGGCAATTCATATCTGGGCAGTCCAACGGGCTGCTGCCCTTAATTTTGAAGGTCCGTTGGACATGCTCTAAAGAAGATGCTTATTACTCAAGACATTACAAATTTAACATGTAAATCGCGTGATTAATTTGTTTTAGAACCAGTTTTAGAGAATTATGCACTCATCAACGAAAGGAGTTACCTTTTCTCAATACAAACGAAGAATCACAACGCCGATGCACCAGGGAGAGAGCCATTAAAATCCATTGCAACGAACTCTGCATTCTTATGTTTTTTTTCTTCTGGTTTCTGTACCAAGTTACTACCAAGAATCCATACTCTTTTCGCCGTAACATCGTCACGAACATCCAGTTGGGAGGCATCTACATCTACATGTAAATGGGGTGTTTACAAAAGGAATCACAGGAGGATTATTTAACATGACGGAAGCATCCCTTTGGCAAAAGTGCATCCTCTGGTAGCATTCCTGCAGTTTAACTCTGTGCATTAACCAAATGCTAAAGAGCGGTGGCAGCAGCCGCAGCCATCCATGATCTGTAGTATAAATACTTGTACCGGTCATCCTCCTGCTTGTTTGTGTTTCACTGCAATCTGTAGGTCTCAAATCATTTGCACGTGTGCGAGTCTGCATTTCCAGCATTTTGTTGTCAGAGACCAAAGGAAGTTCCGAATCCACAAGTTTTTCTTATATGGGACTTGCTCGTGATGCCTGCAATGCAAACGGGGAGAGCCATTTAACGTCTTCCTCTTTAAACGATATAATTTTACACAAAACAGAAATATATGAACGCAATCACAGTTTGATGGAACAAAGGTCAAAGTCGGAAAAGAAGACATATAAATAATAACATTTCAGAAGAATAGCAGAGTAGCTAAAAGACCTGATTATTTGAACTTGTTACTGTAGCCCACTGATGAGGACGCTGTGCCCCCACTGCACCATAGCTGACAAACGTAATTGTTCTTGACTGCTCCCTTTGGCGATTAGTTATCGGGGCTGGCAATTCTCTCACAATCCACAATACAAAAGCCGAGGGCACCAAAGATCCTAACAAAAACAAGATGGGGTGGGAAAAAACTAATGATAATTATTATCTGATGAACAAATGTAGTATCTTCCACATTCAAGATGGGTGAATTCGAAAGAACTACTCAGAAGGGAACACAGCATTACCTATAAAGTAGTACAGAATCAGAAAAACAAGTGCTTTTCCGCCATATGTGATTTTCAGACCCCGCTGACAATATAGCTGGAAAAGATCTTAAAGTGAGTAACCAAGAAATTATGTACGGTAAACTATTAAAATGAACAGCACAAAGAGTAGTAAGGTCTCTAGCCAATGACCCACTTACAGGAATATGTGTAAGAAGAGCAACCAATGCACTTGACGTAAAGCATACAACAGAAGTAACCGCCAAGCTCGCAACCTGTTTGCAAAATTTCAAAACTTACAAAATTACAAACAGGAATTGTGCCAATTTAGGCAAAAATTATTGCACAACATTTTTAAGCATGCCACACAAAGTATTTAATGTTCAAAGGAAAAATGGTAAGTGCACTTTGAAGAATATGAATCCTTTTCATCAAAGGCAATAGAAGAAAAGGAAGTTTCAATCCATTTAATACCTTCCACATTTCGGAAGAAGCTTTCTCAGACCGTACGTTCCTTAACTTACGAGATAGCAGAATGCCTGGAAATATAGAAAGAACAGCAAATTAAATTTCCGACAGCACATCAAAGAATTCGGTTATAAAGCCAATATAGCACTTTTAACACTTAAAAAATTTAGTGACCTTCCAAACTAAATTGATGTATAAAAAAAAAAGTTGCATGTGCTCACCATAGAAACCTAATGCTCCCCCTAGTGAAAGAATGGCAAAACTGAGAAAGTCTTCATATACCTGTACAATGGTGTCGTTATTGGCCAATAATACTTTTCCATATTCAAACAAATAGATACATGACGACACACCATAGTAAGAATATATGGTTCACTCAAAATGTTCCAAAAATTGAAACGAAAAACTACTACTTAGAATTCCAATAAGTATAAACTAATAAGCATACACAAAGTGGTGGTGTCTCACACATATCAGAGATCAAGCAACCATAGGTAAGGACTGATCTTCAATACACAAATATGGTGATGCAAAGACACTTATTTCACTTGTACTAAATCAAAAGATCGAGTAGACGAGACTATGCAATTTCCTATAAAAACAGCTATTGACCCAGACCTTAATAAGGAAATACTAATGCCAGCTGCACTTCCAAATTCTCTTTTGTATGAATCAAAATGCCAGATATGACTAAACACTATTTTATTCTAATTTTTTAGAACCTAATTTCCTGATACATGTTATGGCCCAGAATAAGTTATCATGCCATAAAATTTCTGAATGACTGTTAAGACATGAGCTCATCTGTTACTCATAAATATAGAATAGAAATGACTGTGGTCCGTACCTGAGCAACTGCTGAAGAATCAATGGGGTTCTTACCCGCACCAATCCAGATTACCACAGCAAATGACATCATCAGAATAAGGACAAACACAACAACCTAGCGGGAGAAACAGCTGAAATTAGTTGACAAGAAGAACGAGAGAAAAAAATATTCCAGCAGAAGTTTCAAGATAAAAATATTTCAGCAGAAGTTTCATCACTTATACACGACAAATAAAAAATTAATAACAAAACAATTATATCCCTCATACCGCAATCACAAACTTTTGGTGACTTCCAACATGAATGCTTTGGAATGAACAACAAACCCAATGACCATCTGTGCTTGATGAATTCTTTGAATTTTCTAACAAGGTCTGCTCCACGATGTTGTCCTCTTCATCACCTTCATCCTCTTCATCATTTGCCTGATGGCAAAGGTCGAACCTACAAAGTCATTGTCCATAACAGCATTTGTATACCTTATAAATTACACTGTGACTATAGATTTTTATTTTACAAGATTTAGAGATTGTAATCAAACATATAAAAGATAAACCATGTTGTGACATGCTTCAAAATGAAATTGATATTTGAGTAATTGACACAAAAAGCCATTTTACGTGTGAGGTTAAAGACAAAATATATATGTCAAGGAATTGTCAAGATCCAAAAGTAAAAGTATACAGAACTGACATTGGTTGTAGATGAAATTTGCATTAAAATAGAAAAACTGGATATTTCTTAACAGAAATCTAGTAAGTGCCAAATATCAAATATAGACACAGAGATAAAAAAAAATCACAAACATTTGATATAGAAGGAATTGAATTAGCAGAATACGGGAGGGTAAATTTCTATAGATATTCCTATTGGACACAATAAAGATAACCTTAACAAGTTTAACAGATCAAAGGTAAGATAAGTTGTCATGCTTTTCAATCGACCAGACCATCTCTAAAATTACAACATGAGAAAGCCTAATCTAGAATAAGAAAACTTACCAAAAGGATAGGAGTGAAAGAAAGGCTGCGAGAAACAGAACTTTCGGGTAGGCTGTAGCAATAATTTTTCATCATTAAATCACCAGTGACTAACCATAAAGAAACTTTAGAAACAAACATATGAAGCTGCTTGTCAATCATTACAACTAAGTTAAAAGTATACCCATCAGAATAAATCCACAGACATTAGACCAGCAATGCCACTGCTTACAAGTTACAACCAGCGTAAATGTAAAGTATATGAAGTAACCTGCCAAAACAAGACGTGTGAAGATATAACTTGATGGGCGTGATAAGGCCATAGTATCTACTTTGGGATTTTATACTATGAAGAGTGTTGTAGAGTTGATAGAGAGGAAAAAGCAAAAGGTTTTGAAATAGAAACTGTTTTGATGAGTTGAAGTGTTCGAACAAAACTGCAGAAAACTTAAACAGAACCAAAGAATCCGATGAGAATAAAAGATATAACTATATGTCTCTAAGTCAAACTCATGTACTATTGTGGTTACACCAATTTATAGCATAAAGACATGTTTCTATTTATCAATGTAAATACAAGAGAGAACCAATCTGATACAATGGGAAATCCCTTGTACACCCACTTCATGCTCGATTTGAATGCACATTGTTAGTTCTGCTTAGTACTGTACCCATTCAGTCACATGATTAGTATAAAATCCTCTACTTGAAGACTGAAATTTTACCTAATATGCCCACTGGGCACTGCATCCCTACATTTATTAGTTCGAAAATAAAAACTTGATAAAGCTTAGAAGGAAAACTGAAGAGTTGATAGTATGGAAAAAAAATAAGGTATTTTAGCCTCTGCAAGACAGACGTATTTTTACAAATCCACGACCCAGTTGAGCCCATCTTTGATTCAGAACCATTGTTCAAATTTAATGGAAGAATGATGCTCTGAACCATAAACCATCAACCTTACCCAAGTTAGAAGAACCAATCAAGAGGTGGAGTACCTGCATATTCGTAATCATTTCAGTCAAATGGTCCCTGTAAAGAGTAAAAGTACACAAAACTAAAACATATATATATACATATATATATATATATATATATTATAGAACATTTAAGAATAATAAACCATTTTTCACATTAAATAACATAGAAACAAGGTGAACAGATCATATGCAAATGGTAAAACTGAGGGGAGTGGGAGGGGGATTCCATAGAATTTCCAATTGATATTTGACGTGAAGGTGCAAAACCCAATTTTCAAAACCACATCCTGAACAAAAGTGCTCATAACATTCCTACAATATATGGCAGGATATAAAACATCAGACGATGACATGCTTTTTATGCCTTCAATTGCTAATAGAACAACTCATCACATTAAATTTTTCATAAATTCAATTAAAAAGGTAAACATTAGGAGTAAGAGATGAAGCCCTTACTTTTTGGCGTGTCCATCCACTTTGTTGATTGCGCATATGAATTCTGATCAGCTGGAGAAACAAAAAGCTAAGGTGATTCCCAACTTACGGAAAAAAAAAAGTAATCAAACAAGAGTAGTACTTCTGAAATACTCAATGAACAAACTCGAAATACTAACAAAAGATACCAGTATCTACAGTTAATTGCACTAACAAAAAATAGGTTCTTATACATGTGTAATCAGCTCTTGGCAACTATAACTGGAGATAAAAATGAGGAGACTAAAACTTGTAATTCAGCAAAAGGGCGGCAATGCACATTTATCAAAGGTGCCTAATCCACCATAGAATTTCAAATGGTGAAACTAAAGGTGCGAAATTGGGAAATTTATGACATCAAATCCAATACCAATCGTAACAATTCCAAAATTTCCTCCACTTTCTCCCCAACCAAGCACAACAAAAACACAAATAACTCTTTAATCCAAATCAAGATTCAGGGAACAAACATGCATTATCACTTCTCACGCTTAACATGCATCAAGATTCAGTCAAGGAAAAATCCACAAAATAGACAAAACCCATGTGATGAAATTCTCAACAGAGCTTGAAAACACAAACAATACAGATAACAAAGAAACGGGTTTTCGAAACAGACCTGAGAAAACGCAACCGCAGCAAGAACGCCATTGAAGATGGCCAGAGCTCTATTGAAGATAAGCAAGTCCGACGGAAAGCAATCACCTTTTTCCACTGGTAGCTCCAAGAAGAACACCATCTTCTGCTTCTGCTTCTGCTTTTCAAGAAAGCACTCTCTCTCTCTCTCTCTCTCTCTCTCAGTTTCTGCCTGTCAATCTAATCCGAGAACCATAGAGAGGTGGGCAAATCAGGTTCTATATAGAGGATCGTCGATTGTACGCTCGACAAGAACGACAAAATAATGAAATTTGGCTTTACATACCAAACAAAATTCAGCCTTGTGTTTCTCTTGTTTATTTTGTTGTGGGACTCTTTCCACCCAACCTCCCTCAGTCATTTTGTTTTGTTTTGTTTTTTAATAAATGTACAATTATAAGAATTCATGAGAGATTTCAGAAGTCTAGGGAATATTCTATCTACAAAGTTTATTTTTGGGAAAGATACTTAATATCATAGGATCAAACTTCGGATACCCAAAAAAATGTATCCGCAATTCAAACGAGAATTTATACTACGTATGAACAATATTTGTTAACTAAAAGTTCAAAAAAAATTAAAATTACTATTATACTCTTTCATGCAAGAAAATAATTTTAAAAAAAAAAATTATGCGCATTAAAGTAATTTTGAACAAAAATATTGATTTATTTTTTCATTCACATCTCATCAAAGCATGTTTTTAATTTTAAAAAAAATAAAAATAAAAAACCTACAATCTCAAATTCTCTCTCTTCCCCACATGAATATTAAGAATAAAAGTGACAACTTTAAACAAAAGATGCATTAATATATATTACAAAGCAGTGAACAGTAAGGGTAGTTTCGGTTCGGGCCCCAATTTCAAAATAATGGGCTATGAAAGTCAATTTTAAATCTGAACTGAAATTTCTGAGATCTATAAATTCTAAAATGCCTAATTGAATTTCGATTTCGAGTTCAGAATCAACTCAATTATGAACAATTGTTAACCATTGAATTGCTTGGATGCAAAGTAATTTGGATGTCAAGGATACTAAATTTTTTGAAAGTATTGAGTATTTGAAAATACGAAAATGTCAACAAAAACTATACGATCTTAAGGGATATTTAGAATTATATTTAAATTGTTGGTGTTATGATCTAAGATCCCTAAGTCCTAATTAGGAATTGGGAGTTATTTATGCTGCCTAAGTGCAAAGTTTTAAGTATTTTCCATCATATTAAAGCGACGAGGAGCTTTGTGATTAACGATAACTATGTAAATTCAATGCCTCATCTTCAAGCATTATAAAGTGTAAGGAAATTCTATTTGCATCATCTTATTTTCTTGCTTAGTCAACCATTATTCATATTTCCAATTTTATTCTTCAAATATTTACATAAACAAAAGAAGTCCCTCTACTTTTCCTATCATTTTCTTTTCAAAGTGAATCAACAAGTGGTTTGAGGAGCTCTCGGAGTTAATCCAAACACCCTCCTTGAAGATTGTTTGCTATCTTAACATTTTGAATAAAATCGTTATCGTTTCTTCTATATAAAAAATAAACAAAATCTACAAGTGGACACCATATGAATTGAACTTGTAATATCACCCAATAAAAAGTTATCACATTGTCATGAGCGTCAAGACTAACAAAAAATTTGTGTGTTTGTGAGAAAGAGGGGGGCCAACAGGAGAGGATCTATGCCCTACTAAAGTTCCCCTTTCAACTGTGGGTCTTCGAGATGTCTTGATTGAAGGCGTGCTTGGTGTGTTAATTTCAAAGAAATAGAAGTTTTAGAAATTAAAAATCGAAGAAAAAAACATTTTAAAGGCACAAAACAGTTCTATTTAGAAACAAAAAGTAGATTAAAACGTGGAGAATTTGAGGTTTGTTTTTATTATTGATAAAATTTGTGGTCGAAAAACGCCCTCTCCCCCCTTCCTCAATTTGCCACGACACACATTTCAGGTCAATCTTTGTAAATATCTTTAGGACATTGACATAATGTGGGACAACGAACCAGCAGCGGACGCGGCGTCCATGTTCCAATGAGAGTTAAACTGCCAAAAGGATATTTGTGAGACCTGCAATTTTATTCGGATTTTAAGATTTGATCTTGTTGGACCACGTATGCAGTTGTCCTGTGTTGTGTTTGTGACCGCCAATGGCTCTAATTGCCCACCAAAGGTTTCCTTATCCTTCTGTGTGTGTGTCCTCCTTCTACTTGCTCCTCTTGTGGTGTGAAGTGAATGAAAGAACATACTACAAAAACATGTCCACATTAGCTACAACAACGATTGATTGTTCGGTTTCAAGGAGAAAAACTTCAGTAGGTTTAACTTATTAGAGTAGATTTTGTGTTGGGTGAGAACTTTGTAAGATCATGTGAGACCAATACACATAATGTGCATCTTATTCTTTTATGAGAAGTGTCCTACGGATGACATGATCGTAAGACTCATACTTATTTCTTTTTCTTTGCTATTGAGTAGCAACATTTCTATAAATTGTCATGCTTGTCTATAGGCATGTGACGCATTATTTTCTTTCAAACTAAACACTTCCATCTACTAAATAAAACTTATTAATCATTGGTAATTCATTTTTCTGGATAAGGAAGGATGGAGATTCAAACTTTGTACTTCTTCCAACACTGGGAAGATAATTTTTCGGCCGTTGGATTTCCAAAGTGCAACTAGTGTGCACATAATTAATTTGCTCCCTTGTTTGAACAGCAAGCTCTACTCCTTATTTGAAATTTCGTTCTCCTTCATGATCATAGTACAGAAGAAGAAACCAAAGAAAAGAAGCAGACCTCCTCTCCATATAATCCCACTTACTCAATTAATTAATTAAGCTACTCAAGTACGATTTATTATAAATTAGTTAGATAAACGTTTTAATCCCCAATCTTATCCCCAAATCTCTAAAGCACTCGTCCAAGATGTTGCCAAGCACTAGAGCTTGTTTCCACATGTATGATCGAAAAAACGAAAAGAAAAGACGTTTGATTATTTACACATAAATGGTCAATCCATGCAATAATCATGATAGGATAAAAGCTATAATTTGCACATGACCTATTTTTCTGCCATGATTGCATCCTGAATTGATTTGGTTACTTGCCAAAATTTAATAAATTTTCAATGTGCTGGAAACACGGTATGGTACACAAAGTGTCATGATACAGTTGATTGAAAACTTTTTTATAAAAATTTCAAACAATTGTATTATTACATTTTATGTACCAGATCGTATTTTTAATACACTGAAAACCTCTCCTAAACCTGGAAGGAACCGCATCAGGTATTCCTTTAATTTGATTTGGTTAATTATCTCTGGTTTTTCAGAGAAAAGTTCTATCAAATAGAGTTACTTTAATTTGACAGACAGATACCCAAGCTTATCTTTTTGCTATTTGTCTACATGACAAGCGAGCTTTATATTATTATCATTATTATTATTGTCATCCCAGGACACATGGTCTGAAGGGTCTTGTTATCAATAAGACTATAATGAATAATCTGTTGGTGTAGTTTGGCTCGATGCAAGCCAAAGGAACGATGCGCAACATCACACATCAAAGGAGTAGAATACAATAACATACACTTTAAAGTATGGAAAACGTTCCTTTTCGGATTCTCTTTGTGGGGATCCAAGGAATCTATCAATCATGATCGTTCATCATACATCATGTGATCAGTTTTCGTTAAATACTATTTATGTTCAATTTTAAATTTTAAATTTTAAATGATTTCTAACCGCACGATGTACGATGAATAACCATGGTTGATTGATCCCCTAGATCCCCACAAAGAGGATCCAGAGAGAATTCTTTTCCGTGGACTACTACTAACTGCGTTGAGACATTTTGGTAGAAAATCATTATTTGGAGTCAAAATGAGCCATCACATAAAACCTAAGTGGGGTTTTTTTTTTTTTTTTTTTTTCCATCAAAAAACCTAAGTGGTTAAATTGAGACAATATGATACTAGTGGACACTTGCAGACACCTAAGACAACAATTGCGATCAGAGTTTGGCTTGATAAAGTACACACAAGTTAAATGTGGGTAGTCACACAATGGCACGAAGGCAGCTCAAGCACATTTGCGTACAGGCTAAAACATGGAGCGGGGCCAAGAAATAATCAGAGGAGGTGGAGTTGCAGGGACCATGCAATTCTATATAAGAAGTGCTAATAGTGTTCGTAACAGATGGGCTGCCTTGGTTTGCGTCTGTCTCGCCAAGGTTGAGATCGTTGGTGTAGTTTAAGCTTGATACAATCTAAAGATCCATGACACACTTGGAGTATTGGGTACCACCACGCAAACAAGCAAACAAGAACACAGAGCATTTAGATATAGTCATTTGACCAATCTTGTCTACATCCACTCCGATAATCGTCTAAACAGCTATCAAACTCCAGGTATAAATCTTCTCGCCCAAAAACCGTAAATCTAGGATCTATATCATGTCTAAAGTTATTCATTTACTTCAACTTCGTTTTGCTGATCTCATTGTGCATCGTAGAGTACGTACAAGTTTTTTGAATATTTTCGTTGGTGTTTCAAGCTCTCTCTCAATTGTAGTTTCACTTCCCCAAATATAACAAATTACATGTGATTGAGGAGGTTCTGAAATCTGAAACTTGATACGAATTGAGAACAAAGACTATTTTTTGGATGGAAATTATTAGATACTTGTTTTCTTATTCATACCAAGAGATTATCTCTTGAAATCAATGCATAGTCTCAGTGACGTTACTAAACTCATTGAATGTGATACATATTGAAAAATTAACATGACTATCCAATTACTATTTTTCGTGTAACGTTTCCGGTTACAGAAGCTAGCTAGGATTCCTCTGCAGCCTTGAGATCCCTTTAAGAAAAGAAAGGTTGAAGCGGCCAACCAAATTATGAGGTTGTCTCCTGCAAGATACTATTTCTGTAGTCGATCTGGACATTGACGGCCCTCCACACAAAGTACTCATCTCATCATGGACAACCCCGACACTGGAAAAAGAAGGGTCTGACGACTATATGGTACAAGGATACTAATATCTCGGTGGCAATAAGCTTCGTCAGGGCTCTCTCTCTCTCTCTCTTTTTCTCAAAGCTAGCTATATATATTTATAGCATCTGTAAAGTCAGATCTTGGGATGCATATCATGCATGTGTGTGTCTGTGCTTTCATCTTTACGCTAAGAATCTAATAAATCATCAAGTTCCAATTATAAATTATGTGAAGAAGAACAAAAATCTACAAATTAATTAAGTTTAAAGGAGAGCTTGTCAGTTATAGTTATTCATAACGCAAAAAGATTTCGAGTGTAGTGATCTTGTGTATACACGATA